GATCCTATAAACCACATTATTCATACTGAATTGTGGTTAAAAATAGAATAACATATACTTTATACTTTATTAAATACACGGATGTGAATTTAGATATCGTTAAACAATTGTTAAACTTAAAATATTTTGTTCAAACATAATAACATCTTATTGTATTATACTTTACTATATAAATCGGAAATAAGAATTGATTATTATATAGTATATGTAATATCAAATATTTATAAAAACTTAAATTAACAATGTTTTTAAATTATTTAAATGTTTTTATAATATTAATAGTTGGTATGTATAAACATAAAAAGTGTGCCGTATACATTTTCAAAATAAATTAAATTATGAGAAAATTTTTATCATCTATTTATAGGTTTATGTAATCAAGCTAGACCAGTTGACTCGGCACATGGTTGCGGTGATGTGGGGCAATGGGACATATTTCACGATGATTGTTCTGACATTTGTTATACTTGGATAAATTCATTTGTAGATTATACAAGTGCTGTCAATTTTTGTAAAACAGTCAACGCATCCCTTCCCACTATTAATTCGGAGGCTGAGCAAACATTTGTCACAAACTATTTATTTACCAAGAATAAAATGGTGGAGAGTGTATGGCTGGACGCTAGCATTGAAAACAAGCACATCGTATGGAAAGATGGCACGAGGGCTGTATATGAAAACTGGTTGACTGGGCGTCCGGTAAACGATAGTAACTGTGTGGAAATGTTGCCCGATCAAATAAACCCGGGTCAGTGGTTAGACCAACCATGTGCCAAACGAAATATTGTGGCCTGCAAGCGCGTGGTAAAGTGGTTGGACGATCGTACGGAGCGCTTGATCAGGGACAATCGTCGCTTGTTGGTTCGTTACGAAACGGATATGGCACAGTTGAAGCAGACAGTAGCTGTGTTAGAGGGTAATCAAGTACCTATTGGCTTTATATACGTACAATTACCCAACCAAGATCCACCAAAAACACTATGGCCCGCATACATGTGGTCAGATGTGACGGCCTAATACGCGGGTCAGTTTTTCCGGGTCGAAGGCAACGGTAGTGTAGCGTTTGGCAAAGGCATCCAAGAGGATAACGCACCAAGGTTATCTCAAGTCCAATCATGGGTAAAACCATATGATCAAAAAATTGAAATAACTCCCGGTGTTTGGAGTCCATATGTATTTTTCGGCTCATACACTGGCATTCCCACTGATAACTATGCACAATCATTCCTAGTAACCGCGGGTGAAGTTCGACCCCGTAATCAGGCGGTGCGCATATTTCAACGTATTAAATAAATTTATTGTTAATATTAAATTATAATATGTATATTATCGATAAAATAAACACTCAGAAGGAAAATATGCCAACATCACCTAGCTGATCAAGTCGTGGTTGATATGGTCATGTCCAGTATTGTATGAAAATTCATAAACAATCTCCAAAACTTGCGAATGGCCATATGCACTGAAGTTATGGCCATATTTTTAACCAGTTGCATACGTCTTATACCATTATAGTTTTGGTGAATGGCATTACTCATGAGAAAAGCCATTTTTCAATGCATGTAGCCCTATGCAAGTGGCTAGAAACATGGCAATAACTTATGTGCTTATGGTCATTCGCACGTTTTGAAAATTGTTTATGAATCTCCATACAATACTGGACATGACCATATCAACCACAACTGGCTCAGCTAGGTGATGGTCGCATACTTTCCTTCTCAGAGAGATTAAATGTAATCATTAATTTGTGTACTTTATACTAATTGACAAATGTCACTTATTTGAGTAAAAATAATATTATGGTTGTTATGAAATTAAAGTAAACATAATTTATCAAATACGATAGATAATTTAAACATTAAATTGTCTATATAAACAAAATTAATATTAGATAAATAATAATCAACATCTTATAATTAAAACTATATTCAAAACTACTTATAATTATATTGACTAACAAACTGAGCACTAGTAGTTTTGTAGTTATACTAATTAATTAAAATGAGAATCAATACTATTGTTATTCTGGTTTATGTCATACAATTGTTTCACCTAACTCTAGGTAAAGTACATATTATATTTAATAAATGTCCTTCATAATTTGAAGTTTAAAGTGCAATTATTTATAGAATAATTTTATTTTTATCTAATTAAATTTATTTTATTTTTAAAATATTGAATAATAAATTATGATTTATAACCTAAAGTGTATAAACTGTTTATAATATTATACATAGTGCAAAGTTTGCACTGCAAACAAGCAACAAAATTTAATTAACATATATTTAGTTCATGGCACATGTCGTGAGCCGTGCGGATGCAATGGATGGGTGCCTTATGGGGACGAAAAATGTTACCGTGTGTTCAACACAACACACCCCAAGACATACGCACAGAGCGGCGAATTTTGCGGCGCCCTTAAACAGGACCCGTATGTCCCGACTCTACCCATCGTTAAATCGGCGGACGAACACCGGTTTCTCGTCGACTATTTGGCGGACACTTTTGCAAACGGGACAGACGTGTGGATTGGCGCCCGGCGCCGGACATCACCGGCCGATGACGTGACAGAGTTTAAGTGGTGGGACGGGTCGAGCGTCGAGTACAGCAATTGGCTGCCAGGCGCGGCGTTGGGCGTAGACCGGGCCGACTGTGTGGCCATGAAATCAGCGAAACATTGGTATGCAGTGTCCGGCGCTCAAGTGGTTGACAACGGTGTTTGGGTTAACACTATGTGCGACGCCCATAATGTGGTGCTGTGCCAGAAAGTGCAGTACTGGTCGGACAGTAAGATCCAGTCGCAAGTGATGGCTGATAGACGCCGCGCATTGCAAACACGTCACGATCTAGATACTTTTAAAAATATGCTAGATGTCACAGCGAATAATAGTGCTACAAAAAATATTCAAGGTAATTATTTTAAATTGCTTATTAATTATTGGGTTGGCCAATAAGTTTTGTCTACACAATGGACTAGATGAGATTTTAAACGAAATCGCAACATTAAAACGTAACCAAGAACAACAGCAGGCAGAAATTACACAACTGAAACTTGATGATGGCCACCATCAGTCAACAATAACGCAGCTCAAATTGGAACATGGTCAACAACAATCTGAAATTTCAGAACTCAAACACGAATACGAGCTACGAAAATCAGAAAATACCCAGCTAAAACTTGACCATGATAAACAACAAACTGAAATTAGCAAGTTGCAACAAGACGTAAACCAATGTCAATCTAAAATCGCCCAGGTGTCACAGAGCCAGTTGCCAATTGGTTTCATATACGTACAGCTGCCCCATCAGTCTGACCCCAAAGACCTGTGGCCACAGTACACGTGGTCGGAAGTGACTGCCCAATACGCGGGTCAATTTTTCCGGGCTGAAGGTGCCGGGAGTTTGACATATAACCAAGGTGTTCAGCCGGATAACGCACCTAGAATCACCAAGATAGCATTTAGGAGTTTTCGGGACGGCGGTGACAATTGGGAAGTGGATGTGCCGTCGAGTGGGTGGAGTCCATTAGTGATTACAGGTGGACACTCGGGTCGTTGGGTCTTAGCTAAGTATTACGTGTCCGGGGGTGAAGTGCGGCCCCGTAATCAAGCCGTGCGCATATTTAAACGTACAGGTTAATTTGGTGTTTTTGTAATGTAATCTAATTAAGTTCATAATGATTGTTAATCGATTTTAAATTCATTTGGTTACATGTGAATAATATTCATTTATAATTAATAGTTTAATATGAATCTTATAAATATAATTTACAAAACATTAATAATAGTGCTCTAATTATACGTGTTTTAAATAATTATTCATTACTTTTTTGTGCAACATTTAGACATAGTTTTGATATTTACATATTGTGTTTATAGAGGTCTCTCTCTCTCTCTCTCTCTCTCTCTCTCTCTCTCTCAATACAAATCAAAAACATATTATACATTAAAAACTGAATTAAAAATCAAATCAAAACATAGTTTGCATTATTTAATTGAATAAATTGTTGCGATTATACATTGAAAAACTGTCCGTTAAAATAGCCGCACAATTGTGTATACTTTATATACAGTACAGTCGACACACGTATATAAGAGCACCGGGCGATTGTCATACACGCCAACAAAACGCCTGTTAATTGTTGTTAACCAGCACTCAATCATCGGGTGTCGGCTCCCGTTCAGTCTCTATAAGGCTTGACCAGAATTTACAGCAAATAGTTTTCACCTGGATCAAATTAAAACAATACAAATTATTAATTTTATTTGCGTGAATAATTTAATAACAAACAAAACTTACCTTTTCATCGACTGGTATGACTTGCGGTGTATCACAAACAACGTATAGTTTCGGATCAAGACCTAACTGTCCCCACTTGTTCCTAGATGGTAATTAAAAACAAATAATATAATTACTATAAACTATAAATTACTATAATGCATGATAACTTGGCGAGCTTAATTTTTAATTGAGTATACGGTATTTAGCACTATAAAATAAATCTATCCTTATTTAAATTAAATTAAATAGTAAAACACAAATCAATAAAATTAATTAAGTAAAACAATTAAATAACTATAATATAATATTGCCTTACTCAAATAAATTTTAAAAAAAGTTACTGGCTAAATATAAATAAGCATTTAAATATAAATAATAAAACAAGTGCTAAGGCTAGCACAGCACATACCAGCCCCAGCCAAACAGTATGCCATTCTCGGACACAGCCATCGAGTGACGGCTACCGGCGCTAATCGACGCGAAACAATCGTCATCAGAGATCTCTAGTGGTAGGGGCAGCGCCTTCATGGCTATGGTCTCGCGGGGGTAACCCAACTGCCCGGACTCGTTCCAACCCCACACATACACATCACCCGTAGTCGACAGCGCCATCGAATGCCAGCCGCCAGCGGCCACCGCTTTAATCTTCACGCCGTCCAGAGCGTCCACCAGTCGGGCGCCCACTGGTTCCCTACCATCACCACCACCGCCGACAACGTCCTCGACGTCTCCGTGGCCTAACTGACCCCTCGACCCGCGCCCGTACGACAACACTCGCCCGGTGTCCGTGAGGGCCAGCACGTGCTCCTGACCGCAGCTGACGGCCACACAGCGTTTGTCGGTGAGTCGCGCGCCCAACCGCCCGGTGCTTATGTCGAATAGTATGGCGTCGCCCGAGTCGGTCAGTACGCAAGAGTACTCGACACCGACGCTGATCTGTTCGATGGGTGGCAGCGGTTGTGTCGGTTGTTCACCGCTGGTGCCGGTGGTGGTGGGGGTGGAGGGCTCGCCCTCGGGCTCCAGTTGTCCGATAAGTGTGGGCTCTGTGTCCACAAAGTTGAAGCCAGTCCTGAATGTTCAGCGAGAATATAAATAAATATACATTAATTTAGTAATACTGTAATTAACATGCTAGTTTTAACATGTAACTTTAAATAACAAACTAATTATTATCATGCTAAATAATTGTTTGTGTATATTTTTCAATTAAATTATTTAGTTTAATAAACTGAATATGTTTAAGTAGTTAGCTTAATAAAAATCGTACCATTTAAATAGCTGATGATCCAGCGTGAGCACCATGGTCTCTTTGGAGCCGCACTCGATGTTAACAATATATTTGGGCGCTTTCTCGCACACAATCAGCTCATTGGAGTCCTTATGCTTTTTATCGGTCACGTGATTATTGTTTGTGTTATTTAACGTTTCATTTGACTTAGTGTCCAATTGTTTCTTGATATGTGCCTTAGGGTTAGAGTAGCCCAAGTAGACCACCTGACCCGACCCGGTCTGCAAAAACAGCGAACACCAGCCAACGTATGCGCTGATCACGTGATCCGAGTTGTCGAATATAAGGTCGCTCAGCGGTCGCAGGAATATGTTGTTTATGCCCGACTTGTGCCGGAATTTCAGGAAACTATCGAACCCGCAGTAATACAGCATTGTGTTTGTTGTGTTGGTCACCCTATTTGGTCGATATGTGTATAATTAATGATGTGTTGTTGATATGATTTATTATTATTATTATTATTCAGGGATATAATATGTGATATTTATTATTCTTGATAGTAGTTCCATAACATTTGTGCTGACCAAGGTCTTATGTACTGTACTGTTATTAATAGTCCGTAGATTTCTGTAATTAAAAATGTTTTAAAATTTATTTGAGTAAGGCAATATTATATTATAGTTATTTAATTGTTTTACTTAATTAATTTTATTGATTTGTGTTTTACTATTTAATTTAATTTAAA